TTTGAAAGCCTTAAATTTATTTTAGATGAACCATTATCCTCTTACAATAATAAAAAAAAACAATTTGTGCCCGTTCTCTACCCACACGCAACTCTTGTTAAGCTCCATCTCCGTGTCCCGTGGCATCACTCCCTATTCCATATTTCTTTGACGAAATACACTGAATCTTTCCCATCAGTAATAAGCATAAACAACAATATCTGATACATTTTCTTCCATTCATTATGATATCTTGACTCAATTAGTCTTTATTCTTACTTTATCGAAATAGAACAAAAATGGGCTTAATCAAGCACCCCACAGCCTATAAATCAGAAAATAAAATGCAAGGTGATTCTCCGACAAAATTGCAAAGTATCAGTTAAATTCATTCGCAATAGTACACAGACAAATGGAAAGCAAACTAAATGTTCTCAATAAAAAAGACAGAATGTTTATATAAAAAATATAATAGTTATAATAAAGGAAATGAAGAAATAAGGGTACAAAATAGCAGGGTGTTGAGGTAAAGAAAAGTTGATGAGGACTGCGAGAAAAGACTTGCTACATTGTTTGTTTCTTTTAGGACGAACTACAGTCCAGAAATTAGGATATTGTGTATCCGTTACTGTGGGACACATAAAGATGGGTAGGTCAGGGGGTAGGAGTGAGGGAAGCAGTCGTGCCACTGTGTCCCCTGCACTTGCTGCTGCTGCTGCTGTGCCTGTTGCTGCCGTCCGCTGAATTTGCATTCATACTCGACCTGGTGAGAGAGAACAGAATCGGTAAAACTAGATATGGAAAGATTAGACTGGTAGCTTGATCAAGGCCCGGTCAAATCAGTCGGCTGGTCAAATATGACTAGAGTCAAGTCAAGGCGTGTCGACCTTGGATCTTGATTTTTTTTAAGTACATTGCAAGACAGTTGGGGTGTGTCAGCGTGATCCTCAGATTACCCCAGCAAGATGCTAGCCTGATAGTCAAAATTTCGTCACCAGAGAAGAGTGACCATCTGCATGCAATATGTAACATTCCTGGGGCTCAAGTCTCATGTTCTCCTCACAATATACTCAATCAGTGTAAGGGAATTGTCTTTTCCTGAGAACTGATGAGGTATTCTGAGGAGACTCTGTTAGAGGAAATGAAAAGTTTAAAGCAGTGGCTGTAAAGCATTTTAAGAAGTTGATGGTGTGCAACAATCGACACCAGTTCTTCTAGCTTTTGAAAATTTAGTCTTTCAATTAAGTTGGCATGGTGCCACCCCAAGGTAAATCCACTGTACCCAACCCCATGCGGTGCTTCCACTGCCAGGGTTATGGTCATGGAGCCAACTCTTGCTGTTGTTGAGAAAATGGACTATCATTAGTGTGGTACAACAGGTCATCAAGATGACAACTGTCCAGGTCCAGTACGCAATGACCACTGCAAAGTTCATAAAAAAAATATTTCAAAGCAGTGTAAAGGGTACACATTTGAAAAAGAAGTATTGGTAATAAAGAGCAAGAAGAAAGTTTACAGGAAGCAAAGCGATCTGCCTGTGTGCTGTTCACACAGCCGGGTAAATCCTTTGCCTCAGTTCTAACCTGTCCTCCTTCGCATCATCTCTTAACCTCCAGTTCTTCTTGCCCTATACACTCTTCCATAACAGTTCAACCTCAGTCCTCAAATACTGAAACTGCATCTTGTGAGTTGTTCCACCAGAAACGAAGTAAAACTGAGGAGACTTCTCTTAAAGTAATGTCTTTGGAGCCATCAGGCAAGGTTCCAGAAGCCTCAATGGTGACACCCCCAGCTGCCACCATATCCACAGGGGCCTCCACTACTAGACAGAATGTCCCTGAACCAAAAGTTCAGCTCCACCATTTGCCCAGGCAAAAAAAATCTTAGCTTGTCAAAAGGACTCTTCCACCCAAAGTAGTCTTTGGAGCTGTCAGGCAAGGCTCGAGAAGTTTTAATCGTGACAGCTCCAGCTGTCAACACATCCACAGGGTCCCCGCTGTTACACAAAATACCTGAACGAAAGCCTCATGTCCACCCATTGCCCAGGCAAAGGAATCCTGAGTATGTCCAAACACCTTATGAGAAGGAAGCTTGTCAATCTGAAGAAGTGGATACCTAATTCAATGGTACTATCAGGGAATTTATAGAAAATGCGACATCTGATAGCTTTATGTAACCTAGTTTGTGACCAGCATCCATCCCAGCCAACAAGTAGAATTTGTGTTAACAAAGATGATGGCTAAAAGTGAAGCACGTTGTAAGGAATGCAAAGAACCATCACCGGTCGCACATGTAGTGGAAAGATTTTCATATTTTCATATCAAAGATGTATGTACTTGTCTCCCCATAGACTGTGTAGCCGCTGTTATCAACATCGGCATGGCGTACCCGCTGGCATCAGCATCACGTGTATAACATCTGTAGCCACTGCCATCAGCATCGGCATGGCGTAGCTGCTGGCCTCAGCATCACGCGTATATCATCCCCTCTAGGACTTGGTTGACAGCTTCCTCATGGGTTGCGATAAGGATAATGCCATGGCCGAGTTCCTCCATGTGTTTGTATGTGCTGAATTAGGCCTTGTCCCTAGTGTTGACGTATAAATGAAGGAAGGGCGTCTCACGAAAGGGGGGCCATCACTGGTTATAGAACAGTTTGAGAGTGAATACTGGCTCGACAACACGTACATAAGGACCGATCTGTGGACTTCTGTTAAAAGCCTTGACTGTTCCCGCTATGCGTATGTATCATACACATTCATGTATAGATATACATTAGTGTCAGTGTATGTTGTTGCTTACCTAAAGCAGTAGGGCATAATGACATTCTTAGCAAACAGTAAAATGTATGTATGTATTATAAGTACTGATATGATCTTGTTATTGAATCTAAGTCGAATTGTAACAGCAATTATGATTATTACTGCATGACTGATATTGTATTGATTATGTATTGACCGCATTCCAATAAATTGAGAAGCGAGTACGACGCAGTGATATCAGTCACCTCGAGTTAACACAAATAATCTAAGCGCGTGAAAAGGCGCTTATAGACTGTGATATAGATTTTATTACTTTCCTATGGGAGACTAATATTTTTAATAAAAATGTTATGGATAATGTTTATGCTTTGATTCGTTATAAATAAAAATAAATAACAATAAATACATGAGACATTTATTGATTGATTTTTAACGTTTTAAATATCATACCATCTTAAACCAAAAAGATATTCGCCACTAATGACCTATTCATGCAGCAGATAATTTTAAATAATCAATTAGTATTGCCAAGTATAAAGAATAAAACATACCGATGTGGTGATGGGGTGGTTGGCAACGCATCCGAGTTTGCACACTGGCATGGGGCTGAGAGCCTTGCAGTGGTACTGGCCCTCTGTCCTCTGGTGGTACACCCACTCTGTGCACTCGTACAGAGCTGCCGGAGAAATTCAGGTGTTAGTGATCATAATCAGTATTTCTTTGGCTTATGAGGTCAAAAATTATGAATGAGACTCAAGGTTTTACGACTTAATCACACGCAACAAACCACTAGCATGTGTGACTCCGGTCGGCTCATAGGTGAAGTGAGAGCAGGTCTCCTGGTACTTTTCCACATCACGTTTCAAGTTCTTGTACATGAAGGATGCGCATCCTTCTCCAGGCGATGCCCAGGAAAGGGCGAAGAGATGGCCATCTGTGTAGTGGCAGCCTTTGGGTCCTACCATGTCATTGGATGGCTCACCATCAAAGTTTCCACATAAACCAGTAGTGTGCCCACGGTGGTCCAGTCCCAGCTATCAAAGGCATTATGTCAACATTATAATACACAATATAAAGTGTTCAGAAATGCATTTTTTCCTTAATGGATAATCCTTTATAGTCTTTATATTACACGAACGACTACATCGGTTCCGCATTTCACAAAGCATTATACTAACTAAAAGTAGTTTTAGAATAACTTATCAGACATTAAAAGCTCTTCAAACTTACCAGCACTTCTACCTTGTCCGAAACTTTGACACGTGTTCCACTTTCGAATACAATTGTATGGCTGTCATCATGGTGCAAGACGGTGTACCTGTTATCTGTTCCTTTAGCTGGCTCACCATTTACCTGTTTTAGGGGAAGTAGGAAGCTGTTACAACTAGCATGGATAGAGGTTAAAAGATAATGCAAAGGATTAGATTACATGAAACAGACTTAATTGGTCATTATTGTGCTCTTTTTTAAATTATTTGATATAGGAATCTTTTGGAACATGTGACTTATTGATACTGCAGAGTTGATATGCAACTGAGTATAGTAAATGAAAGAATGGATTCTAACTTAAATAATTCAGTTTGAAAATGCATTAAACACATCGAAACTGAGAAAGTAAATAAATGATATTAGAAACTTACAAGGAAATTGGTTGGAGACATATCAATTACAAGGCCTTCCTTCTGCCAAATAATGCGGACCTCCCACTGGCCTGTGTTCCGAACGAGCATGGCTCCTCGCTGGTCAAAGGTCGTGTCGAAGGTCATAGCATTCCAGCACTCACTGGGCTCATAAGAGAACACCCTGCCATCTGCCGTCCTGACCTGAAAATCATAAGGTTCGAGTTGTATTTGAGGTGCTGAAGCTGATGCATTGGTATAGTAAGAACAAAAGAAAGTAGAGAGGAAATATAAGGGAAAGCAGGAAATGAAATTTAAGTATGTAGTGGAAAAGAAAAGACAAAGGCTAAGAAAATTGGGTGCTCACTGTGGAAGCAGAGCACCTTCGCTGTCTTTTGTAATGATTTGAAATACACTCTGCTTTTTGCAAACACTGAGGAGGAATGGTTTGTCATCTCTCCTTCATGCGCCATCGCTTACCAGGTACCAAGCCTACCAAAGCATTAAGCCTGGCAAATGCTTATCCTTTATTAAGGAGAACCAGATATCAACCTGGTACACATGCGGGTCTATCAGCCTAATAGAAAGTATCGTATCGAATTTATTTTCGCGTCGGTGCAAAAAGAAATTAAGACTTTTTGCAGTAAGTTGTAGGATAAATCATCATTTTCAATGGAAGTGATTACTGTATGTTTAACCATCATTATGGATATCATAAAGTTTGTTACTATTTTACTTTATGTATATATGTCTGAAAGAATACTAGAGTAAATGAAAATAAAGATAGTAAGAATAATTTCCAAACCACTAAACAAAAGCATGTTACTAGAAAAATAAACATACTCTTTTTAACATTTTTACATACTGTACCTTGGTTTCATCAATGGTACAGGCCACTGGCGTGCGACCGACAGCGAGGTCATAGAGCAGGGTGGTCGCTAAGGGCGCGGGTGTGAAGATCGGGTTGGCCCACGCCGGGAGTTCCAGTTCGTTGATGATGGACACGGCATAGGGTTTCTCTGTCCTTATGGTCCACAGGCCAGTCTCGATGCACCTGGAGATACAGAGAATACGTCAGAGTTTGCCAAGGTCCGGGCTTACTCCTTTTTACCAAAGATGCCACTGAGGATATCAACAATGAATAATCATACAGCATAGATAGATTCTGCATTCCAGTGACTTACTTTGTAGCATCAATCTCAATCTTGGAAGCGTAATGCGCGCTGGTGTGGTCAAATTCGATCTTCTTGGACAGAGAAGCCTTGATGATGTCATCAACATAGTATGTAAGGTTCTTCAGGTTGTCTGGGAAGTCCTAGAAGCAGAAATGTGTTCTGTGAGTAACATGAGTCACATGATCAAAAGCACCAAAGCCTGAATCAAGTATCAGAGACTGTATCCACCGATTTTCAAAGGGTTTTGGAACAGGGAGCTTCCTTACTGGTGTCCAGGTGGCAGTGATGTGAGAGTGGTCATACAAAGGAGAAGTGATGATGTCAATGCCAGGAGCGTAGGTACTGTAGTCGCAGTCCTTCTCTATTGCTTCCTTCACTTTCTCCTTGACATTGCTGCTGACATCAAATGAAGCCTGAAAGAAGCAAAACAAATGTATTGTCGTGCATTCCAATCAGATGAAACATTTATACTCATGCTCTCTTGGACAAGTTCTCTTCCCCTCACTGTCTCACCTCCAACAACAAGACCGGTGATTCCTCACACGTCTCGCCCTCGTACAACTTCAGCCTTGACTGTGGAATGGTAGTTGGCCGTCAGAACATCCTCAGTGGTGAAGAATGGATTGAAATGCGGCTTCACAATCTGGGCGTTCAGGCAGATCTGGAAGAAGCAAGATCAGCGTCACAAATCTGACTTTTTGTCGCAAATCTTCATATAGAAAGAAAACCAATTGACTCAATAGAAGACATCCTCAACAAGAAGTCTTAAAATACCACGCACAGTGTATGGGTCCTCCAAGACACCGACGGCCGGATGCTTGATGAGTGTCACTTGCACCTTGGAGGATCTCGTCGAGCCGGAGCTGGAGATCGCCCAGGTCAGGCTCGCCTCATAGTTCCTCGTGGGAGTTCCCTGAAGCTCTACTTCCACACTGATGGTTCTCACGTGCCCTCCGGATGCTGTATAATAACAATTGGGAAGTTTTATAAGCAAATTGAAAAACTAACACTAGTCATAGTAATATTTTCTTGTGAACATATTCTTAGGGTAATAACTCGTGTACATTTCCAGTTTTCATTCACCTTTACCCTTTCTCTTAACTCCTATTTGGTACTGCAATACAAGCATTACCTTTTAGTCTCTATATGTAAGCAAAGCAACCACTCACAGAAATACTCCCTAGCTATGATTATGTTCTTACCAATCAATGCCTGTTGCAGCCTCATGATGCGTTCTATGGTCTGGCTCTGTGTTCCGAAGCTATCCACTTCCAGGGTGTCCTGGGAATTGAGAATGGCAAAATAATATATGAATATATATAATATATAATGCACTGTAACACTCACCTTCCCAAATTTAAGCTTATAATAGCAATAGTGACATTGATATTTCTGTATACGAAATCTGGCATTACTGTCCTTATATTTCTTAAACTGATTAGTGCACTTAACAAAGAAAACAGAGCTTTCAAGTCGAGGGAACTATTGAACAGCTCAGCTAACTAAGGGAGACCATTAACCTGGGCTCGTGTGCCCGCCTCACCTGACTTCCACCGGCCACCTGTGAGAACTGTCCGAAATCTTCATCGAACGAACCCTGCGATATCTGTCCATCATCGTCGTAGTCGCCTCGTTGAACCAGAGACCCGCTGCCTCCAGTCGACACTGCGGAAGAGGAGGAGAAAGGTGCGCGTCAATGTGGGAGCGGAGAGAGGATATCGGTGAGACTTCTGGCAGATAAGTTGCCATGTTGCCGGATAAAAGAAATGACACACAACGAGATGCGCGCAAGACCAAATGATCCATAGCTATTAGCTTACCGTAGTTGAAGGTGAATGAGATGACCTTGGTGGTGGAGAGAGTAGGGTCAAAGACTACCTTTTGTTCCCAGGTTTGCGTGGTGATGCTAGTGCCGAATATCTGACTAATAAAAAAGAACACTACATGTAACAAACATTTATCAAGTAAAGGCTGGAAAACACTTATCAAGGCAAAGTCAATTTAATTCATTTCATGAACTTTGGTCAACATACGTGATCCTTTCATAGATGCTTGGTATATGATGGATGTCACCGTCTGTTACGATTTCGAGCCATAGACCCACATCATAGGGGAAAACTTGGTGTCTATCCTGCAATGTTAATAGTAGGAAAAATTAATACCTCATTTGTGAATGCATACGCCATTAAAAAGTAACTTGACTAAAGATAAATTTCCTGTCTCGACTTGCTATAACACTTACGTTGAACAAAGGAAACTCTCCGTGTAGGATAGGCTTGTATAGATTATCGGTGATCAACACTTCGCAGGGATAGTTGGTCTCAAGGACAGTGTAAGGGACGACTTCACTTTGGAACACGTCGATCTGGGAAATAAAGTTTTCACTGCATCTTCCTATCTTTTCTCTTTCATTCCCCTTCCATTTTTATATCTTTTTGTATACATATAGCAATATAAATGCACTTGGCCAATGATATACAGATCTAACCTTCTCGGTGCTAGTCGGCTCTATAGACACTTCAATCTCTTGGTTTATCAGGTTAAAGGAGCCGTGGACGTGTAGAGGTAGAATGAGCTCAGTTTTCGCATAGAGACCTGAGGTGATGGCGGGTCTCTCTGACCACGGCAGGTAGATTCTTGCCTCCACGAAGAGATCTTGGTGTGATCTGCGAGAGACAGAGACAGAAAGAGAGATCGATAAATAGAAAAAAATAGGAAGTGACGGATAATAAAGAAGCACTATATTGCAAACCTGAATGTATCCTAGCAATTCTACCCCAAAATGCAGATTTCATGATAGTTTTTAAAGATAAATTCTTTTGTCAGTATTGCTTCTCAGTTCTCTAAAAATGGCAAAAAATGATCACACTTACTCAAAAACGAGAGCCACGCTACCTTTCACCTTTCCATCTGAGGCGCTATAATCTACATGTTTTATGTTCAGCGAAAGGACAGCCTCATCAACATACTGTGGAAAAAATATAGGATATACACATAACATTCATATATGAACTATATAATCCAATACAATATACATATGTTTATTGTTTGTTTCCTTTTTTTTTTCCTTTTTGTATTTACTTGTACGTGTGTGTGTGTGTGTGTGTGTGTGTGTGCTTACATATATATATATATATATATATATATATATATATATATATATATATATATATATATATATATGTAAACATTTGTATCTGTGTATAAATATATATAGATATAGATAGATAGACAGATGTGTGTATGTGTGTATATACATGTATATATATATATATATATATATATATATATATATATATATATATATTCAAATCATATATTCAAATTCTGGATCAAGATATAGTATAGGACTAACAGAAACAGAAATACTCCAGACTCCTGATTTGATCTTAAGATACAGATGTCACATGGTTCATGATTTAATATGAATGATTTACATGCATAAAAGAAATAATAATATGCATAAAAAACATGCCGACCAGTATTTTATCGCCTTGAACGTATGTTTACCTGTACGCTGAAAGGAAGTCCGGTCTCAGTCGGAAAAGCAATAAAGCTGTAGAGATCCCGGTCGAAAATCGGCGTTTGTTTGTAAAAGACTTGTGTGCCTTCATCGGAATAATAGCCCAGAGGATCTCCTGAAAGAAAGAAATTAAGTCAAATTGTATAGTGATTTCTTTGTGTTTGTGTGTGTTAGTGTGTGTGTGTGTGTGTGTGTGTGTGTGTGTGTGTGTGTGTGTGTGTGTGTGTGTGTGTCAGCATGAATGCTCAGATATAAATAAATAATAAAAACTAGTACCTACCTTTAGTAAACATGAAAAGAACCCTGTCCAACTTGTACCACAAATTTAAGTCTCGAAAGGTTGTAGGCGACGTAAATCCGATTTTCTCCTGTTTGTTATAGACAAGTATCAGTACATGTACAATAGACACTGCCAATTCGAATAACAATTATCTCTCAATTTTCTTTCTCGATGACAATACTGAACAAAACAGTAATTTTGATATTTGACAAATATTAATTGCTATATTGTGTTTATTCATACAAAATATGTGTCACATAAGATAAAAAAGAGAATCTAAATCACCTTTAGTTCCTCCCACATTCCGGTAACGATCTCCCGTGCAGAGCTCTGCACCGGCCTCTTGTTGGGCTTTTGCATGGACATTTTCCACACGTGCGCGTACGAATCCAACCCTCGTTGTTGTAAATCAATCTGAAAATATAAAGGGAATGTTATCATGCACACACACGATCCATTACAATGTGAAGCAATGGTGAACGAAGGTCGACGTACCTTGGTGACCCGTGTGTAGCCATAGAAGAACTCCGTCTGGATGCGCAGGAACACCTCCTCGGGAATGGCCCCGTGGACGCTGGCGAACCAAGCGAAGTTGACTCGCGACCCGTGCTAGGGAGAGGGCAGGCGAGATATCAATTTGTGTAGCAATGCCATTACAATTTAAGCTATTTATTTATGCAATTACAGTATGCAACGTATAGCGGGGAGAAAATTGCTAGAATTTCATCATTTTCTTTGTTCCTCCACATTTCCATATGCTTAATAATATATCAGTATATTTTTTGTTTTATGGTAATAATGAAAAACATTAATAGGTAATACAAATAACTGAATTACTCACCTCCTCTGAGAAGAGGTACTCGTGCAGGAAGAAGTTGGTCGAGTGAAGAATGGACGCCGGGGCGGCAGGCTTGCACAGGTGCTTAATGCGGGACACTGTCTCTGCCCTGGGGAGACAAGCGCTCGTGGACGATCAAGTGCATTAGGAGGTAACATGCGGAGCTTTTTCAGCCGTTCAAGTTACATACCGAGACTTCATGTTTTCGGGAACATTGAGATTCGCCTCGTGTTTATTCAGATTTGTTCTCATGAAATGACTGACTAAGCTTTGTTTAGTTGTCTACTACATATTGGCCGCTTTCGATCCCCACTAGCAAAATATTTCACATCTTACAGTTTCGTGTGGCTGTCAGAGATGGAGTAGATGGTCGTGGTGACGAAGTTGGCGAACTGGGGCGAAGGGTCATGCCAGGTCGAAACCGCCAACTGCTGCCACCAGGCGTGGCCAGGACCCCAGGTTGCCAGCGTGAGGAAGGCGATGTTTCGGATCTCAAACTGTTCCCCTTTGTTCTCGATGATCGGCATCAGGATTTCGTAGATCTGAGAGGAAGTATAGATGAATAAGAGCGTGTAACTAAACACCATTCTTTAGTTTCGTAAAATGTCTCTTCATGAGAGACATTCTGTTAAGGATTATCCCAGCTAACCTTCGCATAATTTGAAGCCAGCGGATGCGTCATGATTGCCCTTACCTGCGAGAGGGCGGACTTCTGCATGTTGTAAGCGCTCAGACTCCAGATGGCATTCGTTCTCATGAAGATGTTGGTTTCGGTGACGCCCAGAATGATGGGCTTCAGTACGTTGATTGTCTGTGGCGTTCCCAGGTTGCTCAGCGCCTGAAGGTATGTGAGCCGCTGCCAGACGTCTATCTCTTGATTCTGAAATATTAATGACATTCATTACAGAACTTCTCCAAAGATGAGCCTTCCCGCCATATGTTAAATACACGTGGTATATGAACAGAGGAAAAGCAAATGAGCTATGGACAGATAAAAGGTATGGAAGGAAGTGATGAAGTGGAAAAGGGCTGCGGGCAAACAGTGTGGCAGTGACAATTAATTACCCCAAGGCCTCGCACGAGGTAAGGGATGAAAGTGGTGATGATGAGCTCAGGGTCGCACGTGGTCTTCGGGCCGCAGCTGTAGTCGAAGTAGAAGTGCTTCCTGTTCTCGCTGAGGCACGCGTCGTGGGCCAGAGTGGCGAAGTTCATGAGGCCGATGGAATGGACCATACCTTCCTCCTCGTCCATGAGCATTTTCTGTCACCAAGAATACACTGTGAGAACTTACAAAGATAAAGAATTGATAATTGTTTTTGAAAGCTCTACATATAATCAGTCTCCTCCATGGCGATTTTCAGCAAATGGAAGAGAAGGAAAAATATAATATCAAAGCTTATCTGAAATCATGACTTTCATCAGACAACGAAAAACAATTTCCCGAGGTTTTTCTCCTAACTTTGGTTGTTTTTTCCGCTTTATTTCTAAAACCGAATCTCTAGACCTTATCAGTTCCTAGGTGTAAAAAAGCATCTAGTAAATAACAAAAAATAGCGGGACTTGACTGTCAGTAGTATAGTTTACATTTTGTCAAAGCCGAGAGAGCACGGTTTGTATTAACGGTTTCTGATATGAGGTAGGCCACAGAGCCAGATGTGTATGTGTGAAACGAGCAAGCATCTCAGTATGCGTAAAGAAATATAGTCTAATATAAGGAGTTGCATGGAGGGTTAACATAATCACAAAAATACAGATCATTTAACGGTAATGCTTGTCTGCATTAGTTACGATTGTGAACAACAATTCTCATTCATTTCAGTATTTAAAATGATGAAATGAAAAGGCAGTACTTTATAATACTGCTGACTACTATTCAAACATACCAAGATCTTAGGAATCGGGGCTGGACTGCGTAGGTTGGAAGCAAAGATGCCATAGAAATCAGCTTTGAGCACTGGTTCTTTGATCTCATCGACTGCAAAAGTGACTGATGGTTCTGTACCGGCGAAGATCACCATCTGAGCGAAGATGTTTCTGGAACGAGAGAGAAGTGTTCATGGGTCAACTTTATGTCTTTTATGAAGAATGTGTATTTTGTTACCTCGTTCATACACACATACACACAAATATACAAATATAGTACAAAATTTGACCTGGTTATCGATATAGTACATATGCAGAATAGTTGAAATCTTACTTATGCAGCGTGCCTTTGCCGTCGAAGTGGCTGTAAAGGGTCTGGATATGTGGATAGTCTAGGTTGGCGACGGCTTCGACGAGGCGGCCCATGATGTAACTAAGGCTCTCAGGTTCAGCCGGTTGTTT